GCAGTGCTACAAGAGTGCTTAAAAAGCATGATAGGCATGCATGCGTCCACGTGAGCATGATAACAACCTATTGAAGAGGTAAATATTTCTTTTTGTTTTTGTCCTGTTGATAAATGTTCTGTGGGGAGACAAAAGAAATTGTCAACTGAATCAGCTGTTGTGAACAATCTACAATTGTCAGGTTGTGTCACAACATCAGTGCCTTCAAGGTACAATAATTTTCTGCTGTATTTAGAAGGTGCCAATTGTTACAAAATAGGCCCCTGAACATTTTTCAATCGAAACCATGACAAGATGAATTGTTCCCTATTTATTCTGAATCCCTTGCCCCAGGTTTTTTGGTCAGCCAAAAAGATTCCAATTTTCTAAATAATATTTCCTACTTTTGGATTCATAAACAGCTGCACAACCGGATATTTTGTCCCTGAATTCTGCGGGAATCGATCCATCTGGCAGTCACTGCTATCGCTCACATATCTCGGTATAATTCATGCAAAATTCTGCAGGTGATGTTTATTTCAGCAAAGAAAAAAGTAGTAAGAGCAAAAGTTACACTGAAACTTAAGCTCTGCTGAAAGGACATGCACGTGGTTGCAACAGCTGAAGAGTTCAATTCTTTTCGATCCCTCTCCTCCTACTTCCTCTTATGTTTCCCCCTTGCTCTGCCCTTAATTAGGAGGGTGGGGTGGTTTGACTTACTGACATGTCCCCAGTTACCATCAAAACCATTCTATCATCAGTTGACAGGAAGTTCCATTTTGTGGGTGGATCAAGGTTTCCTCTTCCTCCATCTCAAAGGATAGACAAATTTGCAGCCTTTCAGCAAACCGTAAAACGGCTTTTACTGAAATGATTGAAATCCATTCACTGAGGATCATTTAGTTGCCACAGCATGGAAATTAACTTATCAACCTTTTGGTTTGAGCTCACTTCCTTGGGTCACTGGCTTCACAGACAGCTTTCACTTCTTTTGAAATATTGTTTGCTCAGTAAAGTTAGCAAGTTTCAATTAACTCACACAGTGTCACATATCTATTTGCCAAAAATATAGGTTGAACATTGAACTCTGTCACAAAAGTAGACTTCCTTCAGTCCAGACCTGAACCTTAATCAGTGCAGATTGGTCTGAGTTACAGATTAAAATTTTACTGCACACTGACAGTGGTTTTTATTGAATTATTGCCAACAGCTGCCCATCCAGCATGAGTTTTGTAAATGATCTCTTCGTAAATACTGGCAGCTGGAATGAACACAAATGTTTTATGATGTTGGAGTAATGCAAATAGTTTGTATGCTGACGGTGTGCTAATGATGTGTAATTTAGAATGAGCTGAATGTTAGTTTCGCACCCATGGTAATCCATATTTGGACCCTGACATCCTGTTTCAAGTGAAGACCTCCTTAATTAAAGTGAATGGAAATTTAAACAGTCAGGCGATACCATCAGTTAATCATAGCAAATCAAATTAACAAGACATTTAGGAGGTAAATTAGAGTCACAATTAATAATGATGCAGATTTTTGTCTTTATGGACTGGGCAATGTTCTGACAGAGTATGCGCTTGATAAATATCACCTAATTTTCATTTATTCCAACTTCAATCCTTAAGCTATGTTACAAAGTAACACCTAGACACAAAGGTGAAACTGTGTCCCATCATGTTTTAATCTTTCAGCCATTTCTGGTGCCAATTATATGGTCTTTTAAGCCAGGAATATGAACTATGGATCCCTAAACTAATTTCAAAAATATCAAACAAGTGTCATGTTCTCGCTCATGACTGCCTCACTCCCGTTCAGTAGGCTTTTCAAATGGCATAGAATTACACAATGTACAGCGCACAGAAACATACCATTCAGCTGAATTAGTTTACGTTGTCATTTATGCTCCATTTGAGTGCTTTCTCATCCTTGCACATCTAAATTTACAGCATAACACTTTGTTTCTCTTTCACATGCTATCTAACTTCTTCCAGAATGCAGTGATGTACTGTTCCCCTCAACAACCCCCTGTGGCGGAGAATTTCACTTTGTCATCCAGTCTGTGAAGATGTTTCTGCTGAAATCTCAATATGATTTCTTGGTGACAACCTTTTAATAATGGGTCTAGTTTTGCTGTTTTACCACAGAGTTGATACTCCCCTTCCCACAGCTATTCCATCAAGACCTTCCATAATTTTAAGGACCATTGCTTATCCCTTCCATATTGGTAGAAATTTCCATAACTGGGACTATCCTTGTAAATAAATGTTTGCACTGTCTGCACTGTCTCCATATACTTTTTTTAGAATTTGGTGACCAGATCTATATGAGTGTGGTCTAACTTGTAGAAGATTCACATAAGTAACAAGCATATATTAGAGGTTAGTTAGAGCTAAATGAACCAAGAACAACCTATTGCCCCTATGGGAAAACACTTGCGGACTAGTTTTCATCCCTTTGTTTTGATGACAATTAGCACAAGCAAATTGGAGTGCAGAATTTACTGCGTCATTGTCAACTTGGATTTTTGCCCTCAGTGAATGCCTGTAAAACGGGCAACTTCCGTGGCTGCCAATTAAATCAATAGGATCTCAATAATGCACCTTCCAGGTTCCAATTGGTGGACTACATGGCATATAAATTCTATCCATTAGTACTTGTACTGAGCAGCAATACTGAATATTAGCCTACTCAGTATCAATTAAGCAAATCACTACAGGCCACTCAAAAACTGATTTGGAATAAAAACCATTTAAATTATATTTGGGAGTTAGGATATAAAGCAAAAGTAGAGGTGAATTATTTTTAGTGTCTCATTTGATAAATCCTATAGAATTTTCTAATTGCTTTTCCATATACTTTTTGTTATTTTTTTAAAATTGAAATTCTTTGTAAAAATATACCAAAATAGGCCAATATGAGTACAATCAGTTACATGTACAGGTAAACAAATAATTGAGCAAAGTAATAATTGAGCAAAGCAAAGGATTCAGAAAAGCCTGAAATATCCAAGAATTTCTTCATATCAATACATTTCTATTTAACACGCTTTCTCCTTCAACTTGAAATTAACAATCACATAACAATTTAAGCTTCAGTAGATTGTATTCTGCTTCAATCCACTCAGTACAGCAATAAAGAATTTAACATTGGATCTTGGTGCATTAAGGTCAAGATTTTCAATTTTTAGCTATTATTTCATAATTGTATTGGCCAGGCAGACTTGCACTTGAATCTGTATCATTTCTTTTGGTGAAGTACAATAGACAGATCAGTAAAAACCTAATCACATGCAAATATTACAATCATTTTTCTTATACAGATAATTTCACGTAGCCAAAATAATTGGTATATTAATTATACCAAATGGAAATTATACCAAATGCATTAGCTTCCTGTTTGATATTTTATGGTAACAATTTTTTTGAGTTGTAAGTAAAAATTAATGCAATGCTGTAGGATTCTTTTAATTGGATTTCATTCCCTGGAACAAATTTTTTTGTATAAAAAGTAATATGATGCCACATCTAAAGCTCCACCTATTTCACTGAAGCTATTCTGCAGCTTCTTGCTGCACCAAATTAGTTTTTGTTTGGGTTTCTCATTCTCCAATATATATGCCTACTTGTCTCAAGAAATTGCAGAAGTTCATTGTATTATTTGTTCAAATTGCTTAACTTTATTTGTTGCTAGTGTTGAAGCTAAGAAATGTGCACATTGAGAAATTTTAATGCAGGCCAATGGAATATTTTAAGCACTCAGCAACAATATTAGCTACACTGTGGATGTTGACAGGGATATTATGTACTGAATTGAGGCAGAAGCTCCATCGATTTAACTGCAGCAATAGAACACATTTCTTCCCTCAGAAAGTCACTTCATCAATGTAGATATTTTTATTTGTCTCCTAGTGAGCTTGCAATAAAACAACTCAATGGAACTGTATTGAAGTTCAAACTCGGAATGGAAGTAGAATCATTTTGGCTGATAGAAGTGCCACCATGCTGTCTAATCCTATTAATTAACCACTAATGACCTAGCTTATTTTCTGGCTAACATCACATTGGTATATGGAAAAAAACAATGACAAGAAATTACCAATGCTGATTATGACATCTGCACAACAAAACGTAATGAAGCCAATCTGGTGATACACAATCAATGGTTGCTAAGCATTACCGTTCTGCAGATATGTAACAAATTGTTCAAACACAGGATTGTATTGAAACAGACATGAAACAATACTAACAAACTGGATAAAAATATTGTCTGACCATGATTGAAAGACAGTGTAGAATAATATCTACAATTACCATGCATAAAGACTGCTTTATGTAAGGACAAAGCCAAAAATGCCTGCATTTCCTTAAAAACATGTAATAATGTGGAATGGAGCCAATGTGATAAATCTTACATGCTTCTCTTAAGGCAATTCTTGACTTTGACAACTATCAAAAAGGTAGTTTGTTGATCAACACCTTTACTTGCCTGCCAAGTTGTGGCTACCTCTAGGGATGTTTTCCCTTCACCTTTTCCTGGCACTTCTTAATATTTAGCAGATACTTGAATAAATCTTGACTTTGACTGGCAGCATTAAATAAGTGCTAACTATTCAGAAGGCCATCGTAAAACCTCTCCCCATTTTTGTATCCATTAATCATGGGTTAAGTTTGGTTTCTGCAAAGACCTGAAGGCAGGACCTGTTTTAGAGATCATCAATTTTCAACTTCCATCATTTAATTTTAGTATCTGAGACATCATAGATTAAAATAATTTGAAAATGGAAGATCCACTTAAAATGAGTAAAGTGGTCAACTGACCACAGATTGGCTTCGTGAATTTAGCTCAATGAGAAATAAATAAATAAATAAAAGCAATATACAGTTGGCTGACAGCCAACAAAACACTCCCATTGACATAGGACCTCACAACAAAATCTCATAGAGACAAATGAAACTAAGAACCCTGACTGGAACACACTCCAATGACTACCCCAGCTCTCTGTGATGTTCCTTTAGGTTGACTGCAAATATTATCAACAGCAGCCTGAACTGTGAAGTTCTGGGTTTCAACCTTGCCCAGGAAATCTTGATAGCATTTAACTAATTAAGGATGAGTCCGAAAAGATGAGACGTCATGCTTTACAAGTGGAACATGAACAATTGCTCAAATTGTTACCCTACTCCTCCAAGTCTGTCCATTACTCACGTGCTAACCTCTTGACCTGAGGCATCAGAACTATTCACATTGCATCGGATGAAACTATTGACTGGATTCTTCACCATGATGTTGAACTACAGTTGCTGCCCCAAATATACTAATGAAGTGTTCTACGAATAAAGTATTCTCGTTGAAAGAAGTAACATTGCCTGAATGACCTTTATAGTTGTTTCTGTCTTATGATTAATGATAGATCTACCTAGTGACTGAAGTCAAACATGGGATTGAATGTTTGATCACTGCACAATTTGGTCAAAAATGGCCCTCATTACTGGATCAAAGCAGCAACAGATCAAATAAAATTAACTTAAATCTGATTTCATTGGTCTTTTTCTTTGTTGGAAAGTGCATTCCTTTTTTTTGTGGCTTCATCTTCCATCATCATTGTAGAAGTGAACGATGAGATGAATAACTGAGAAGGAACTGCAATGAAGTACTATTGCTGAAGTGGTCCAGAACAAGACTGTTCACACAGCTGTCTGTGTCTGTCTTATCAGTGATTGCAATCAGCCATATTTCTGCCCACATTTAGATAATTTTAAAGAACTGGGGAGATGTCATTGAGTAACAGAGTACTGGAGAAAATCAGCAAGTGGTGACATCTAAGAAAGAACTGCAACCCACTGGGCAGATAGTCATGTGGCTGCCTTTCTCAAAAGCAACATTCTACTGTTCATTAGCAGTGTGATAAAAACTCATAATTTGTTATTGCTGTTTAGAAACTTGGGCTCCAAAGTGGAGAAAAAATGAATTTTAGTTTTATTTTTTATAATGCCAGAGGTCATTTCCAATAAGTCATGTGACTTTTGATGCATGAACAGGGAGTTAATTGATAGAGTGTTTGCTGACTCCAGTTTTACAAAGTAGAGAGAGATGTATAAGAGATCCTTGTCAGCAGGGGTGTTTTATTAACAGATAAAATAGCCAGGGCTGGGGTAAAAGCCCTGAGACCAAGACTGTTGAAAATAGGATGTTAGGAATGCAATTAACTAATAAATGAGCTGTGGTGGCAGCTTAGTTAATCTCTCTCCCTGAGTACCTTTCAAAAAAAAAGAAAATAACATTGAGTAAATGTAGAAATTTGCCAAAATAAATTGATTACAGCTATGCCAACTGAAAGAGGAGCATTAGCCTGGATCCAAGAATGAGCCTTTACTACCCTTTGAGTATCTGTAAAGTTGTGGGGAGTAAAAGGGTTGGCTGTTTCTTTTGATAATTGTAATGAGTTTGTTTCAAATAGTTCTTGAGTTGTAGAATGTTTATCTTTTGCGTAATAAGTTTTTAAGTTCTTTTGTCAAAGCACATTGGCATCCTCTTGTGAATATGTTCAGTGACTGCCCACAATGGGTAAACAAAAAGAAAAAAATAAACTTGGGACTTATCAAGCCAGGCGTCACTCTGGGATCTGACTTGTCTAGTATTAACTGAGATCATAACAGTATGATTAAAAAATAAAATGTTGGGCTTACTGACAGATGCAGAATCATTTGATTGATACATGTGATGCTAACACATAATTGACACAAAGCTGTGAGTCTACAATGAGCTTGGGACATGAAACTTAAGAGATATAATGACCTTGACTACAACTGGCAAAAGAGGGATGTTTTCAATTTTTCTTTGGTAAGGTCAGAAACTATGTATGATGAGTTGAAATGAAACCACAGTTGTCAATCAATCTAGCGAATGGAGCAGATGCATAAATGCATCTAGGTCACAACCGTTCATATTAATTAAGTTTGATCTGTAAACCTCTTTGGCATTTGTAATGCTGAAACAGAAGCTTCATGCAGATGAAAGAATGCCAATCTCCTAAAAATGATATATACCTGTTAAAGCTACAACATTTACTTTATAAGATTCATTTGACACTAGCACATTTGCCAATTCGTAAAAGGTCAGTATTAATTCCCATTACCCTGAGTCGGCTCATGTCTTGATCCTGAGCACAGAAAAAGCAATATGACACAAACACATAGATGATCCAGAGACAATTGAAGAAGACAAATGGAAGTTTTGTAAGAGATAGTAGGAACTGCAGATGCTGGAGAATCCGAGACAACAAGGTGCAGGGCTGGATGAACACAGCAGGCCAAGCAGCATCATAGG